CACACACACACACACACACACATGCGCACAGAAATGGTTTAAATATTTTCTAACTGGTTGATATGTGCAATTACAAACAAAATATTGACACTAATAATGAGTGATATATTAAGTAATTTAAATTTTGTTAACAATTTTTAGTATCTACTTTGGCTTGTTTAGATCGTATAGCTATAATTCCGATAGAAGAAGAATAGTGGATATATTTATCAAGCAAATAATGTATATGTGTGCTACGTAATATTCCGTTCAGAAATTATTTATCATTATTTTGTATAGGTATCTGCTATATGCCATTACCAATTATGAAACCAATCGAATTCGTAGACAGGACAGCGTGATCGTTTTTGATGCCGTTTGTAAGGGTGCCAACTCTAATCTGCTTGGCGTCAATTTTGTTTTAAGTTTTGTTGAAATATATCACAAAAAAATAGAAAACTAGTAAGCTGTTTTTATATAATACAATAATTATGCGATATAAATATGCGATAGTAATATATATTAACTAAAAGAAGTAAAATCCCATTCGAGTCGCGTAAATAAATACGAGATATTAATAGAATGTACTAACGTAGATATAATTGTATTACAAATAACTCTTAAAATATATTTTTTTAACTTCTTTTGAGAAGTATACAGATTTATTTAAATGATATCGATGGATATATATAAGATCATTTCTACTTTGATTTATAAGTATGCTATCTTCCTTTTTAGCCACGATGAGGGCATAATAGCTTTCCTCAGTCAAGCGTCGAAGTATCTCTCTACCGTCGAATTAGTGAACAAATTCGAAGAACTCATAGACAGTCGCAAGGTAGATTTCAAACAGTCAATTCGAACAGTTTTGAAGCGATCCTTAAAGATCGCTCAGTTTGAATTGGTATGGTATAACTTCTATGCAAGGTCTATAATTCAATGGCTACGAGCACCCCATTTCAAGCCAGCATTTCGCCTACCAACGAATATAAAACCTAAAAGATATGTCATTTCCATTACGCCTTATCTTGAGGGGAATTTTACGTTCGATGGAAAGGTGAGGATCTCAGCAGACATTGTGCAACCGACAAGCCTGATCATTTTGCACTCGTCAAAACTTGAACATCGCAAAGTGAACGTGACGGCCGATCGGAAACGAGTTAACATTCTAAAAAAGAAGATTGTAAACGAATATGACTTTTACGTGATATATCTTGAAAAAAAACTAAGAGCTAAAACGAAATTGATCATCGAAATTGAATATACAGGTCATTTGAATGCGACAGAGCATTATGGCTTTTACAAAAGTTCTTACGTGAATGACAAGGGGGAAACAAGGTAACGTTGAACATTATTATCCACTCAATTTATGTCAAGCAAGTTAGAAATAAATATTTTTTCTATTCTAAGAAACTTATGTTTTTATAAAAATACTGAGAAAAATTTCTAAAAATTAATGTACATATATGTATTTACTATTATTTATTGCAATTATTTATTTCACAATGGTGCTTCAACAATAATTTAATTTGAAATTTTTAATTGTCAGTTTTATATAAAAAAAATTAGATTTAAAAAGAAATTAAGTATAAAAAGTGTAAAAGAGAATTTTTCTATATTTATGTTCTTTTTTATTTTTAATTAAAATTCTTACATTAAATATTAAAGTGTAAATATTAAATATTAAAATGTAAAATGTTTCATATAGATGGCTTGCAACCTCAAAGTTTGAACCTACTAACGCCAGAAAAATGTTCCCTTGCTTCGATGAACCAGCAATGAAAGCGATATTCGATATTCATGTTATTGTACCGTCAAATTACGAAGCCATCAGTAATATGGAACAGTCTACAAAAAAGAATCTGTATGTATTATGTAAATTTCAATGTATTTTTTAAAAAGAATTGAAATGTTTCCCTTTCTCACAAAATTTTCAATCATTTGCACATGTTTCACTTTAATATTATGTTATTATTACTATTATTTATCTTAAATAAGAATTTAACAATATTAATATTAATATGTCTTGATAAAAATGTGCTTGAAAGACGTTGTTTTGAATATCATATATGATTTTTATACAGTTTTAACAATAGAGCGCGTTATCAGCGCATTCGCCATTATAAGAACAAAATTATATGGTTTTTATATATTCCGTCGAAACAAAACGATTAAAATCACTTTTTTAACAAATTGTTGCAGAGGTGGTCGTGTTATGTACCACTTCAAAGAGTCAGTGCTGATGTCAACGTATTTAGTGGCACTTATCGTTTCCGATTTCAAGTCTATATCTGTACAAACGAATAGAACCAGATTCGCTGTGTTCGCACGTCCCAACGCCATCAATCAAGCCCGTTATGCTTTATCCGTAATGTCTCCATTGGTGAATTTCTTCGAAAATACATACAAACAGGAATATCCGCACTCACAGCTTCTTATGGCTGCGATACCCGATTTCCCATCAGGCGCAATGGAGAATTGGGGCCTTATAACATACAGGGAAACGTTAATGTTATTCGACAAGAATCACTCACCGATTACAAGCAAGAAGAATATCAGATCTGTGATTGCTCATGAGATCGCCCATCAATGGTTCGGAAATTTGGTCAGTCCTCTGTGGTGGAAGTATCTATGGTTGAACGAGGGATTTGCTAGATACTTCCAATATCACGCTCCCGCTCGTGTACGTATAATTATGTAAAGTAAAATATTCCGCCGATATAATGTCAATTTTATATAATTACATCACAAAAATTATGTTTAAATCTTTATAGTACACCGCAAGTAATTTTTCCACGAGATATTAAGAAGTTTAAGATCTTTTTAATCTATACAAATTACACAACACAGAAATCTTTTTCTATTGTACATACACCCTATTTTGGGTGGATTCTACACTTTAGTATAATAAAATAAATTTATTATTTGCATTAGGCATTTAATGACATGGCATTGGAATCGCAATTTGTGGTAGAGCAAGTACATCTTGCTTTAATTGCAGACAGTTCCCAATTTACACACCCTATAAGTCGTGACGTTACAACTCCTTCTGAAATTCAAAGTAACTTCGATACAATCACTTATTCCAAAGGTGGTAGCCTACTGAGAATGATCGAAAAGGTATACGGAATCGATGTGTTCAATGACGCATTAACTGACTATCTTAATAAATGGTATGTAGCAATAATGTTTTTCTTAATACAAATATTATTGTTTAATAACAAAAAGTTCTCTAATTTTAATCAATAATTATTTCGACCCAAATGTTTAGACCGACTGGATTAATTGTTACATATTTAAATTTACAGATAAATATAGGTATAAATATTTTATTTATAATTTATAAAATGTAATCAATATTTGTATATTTTTAATTATTTGCATAATGATATATTAACTGCCAAATTAAAATATTTAATATGATATAAAAGAAGTTTTAAATTAGCTAAATAGGTTTCTTAATATATATAATTCAGTTTAAGTTTTATCAAAAGGCAAATAAATCGTGATAATTGAATCAATGCAAATAAAAAAAACTATCTATGGCAGATATACGTATATCTATTTATTGAAAAATGCGTGAAAATATCGTTCTAATGCTTAAAATACGATGAATTAAAATTTTATTTTGTAATCAGTACACTTCTGTTAGAAAGAAAAAAAATCACTTTCTGATTAATTTCTTAGGAAATACAGCGTTGCCACGCCAGAAGACCTGTACGCATCTTTTCAACTAAAACTGAATGAAAAAGGATATCAAACACTGAAACACAATGTCAAAGTCTATTTAGACACTTGGACAACTCAACCTGGCTATCCAGTCATTAATGTCGCTGTTACAGAAAATTTCATAGTTATAGAACAAAAACGTTTCTTCTTAAAACAGCTAAATAAATCTGATAATACTATTTGGCACATCCCAATTACGTGGGCATCAGTCGAGAATAAGTCAGAATTCTTTAATACAACGCCGATATTTTGGATGACAGAAAGAAAAATAAGAAGAAGAAAATTGTCAGATTTGTCACTTTTAATATTTAACACGCAGCAATCAGGTAATTAAATAAAATAAATTTGAAATTGATAAACCAGAAAAAATGTTAAATGTACTATACTAAACATTTTGACTTTTAAAAATATTTAATATACGCATCTGCATTTATCGATGATATTATACGTATATATTCGCTATTTGAGATTTTTGCATTTACAAATGCGCACATTTGTTTTCCAGGTTATTACCGTGTAAATTATGATAAAAAAAATTGGATACAACTGATTGATTATCTTAAAAATGAGAATTTTGAAACAATTCATGAAATCAATCGCGCAGCATTGATTGATGATCTTATGAATCTTGCAAGAGCAGCATACGTTGATTACGAGATTGCTATATCTGCCATAATGTATTTGGAAAAAGAAAATAATTATTTACCCTGGCGTGCGTTTTTCAATAATTTGCTTTACCTGAACAACCGTTTTAGAGGAAGCGAGATGGAAGACATATATAAAGTACGTGTGTTATAATTATATATAAATGCGTGTATTATAATTTTAATACATTGCATATAAATTAAAAATTAAATTTCCTTATAACTTCTTTGAATTTATTATTAAAATATATAATTTCTATAAAACTTTTTTTGTAATAATCTACATTTAATGCACAATTATATTTAAAAAATATAATTATTTTAAAATTTTACATTTCGTATTTATTATAGCTCTCAAGAAGCTTTTCTTTTTCTTTTTATTTGAACGATATTTCTCAGTTATACATATTTTATTAATATATATTTAAATTAAATTCTATTTAAAAAATGCAAATCTGTTTCAACTTTTGAATCGTGTCATTCAATTTCCACGAGATATATTTTCATGAGAATTTTCATAAATGATTGTACAAAAAAAAATGCGTAATAATATGCGTATATCTTTTTCAGAAATGGATAACATTCTTAATAGGACGAATTTACGCACAATTAGGCTTTGAGGATACCCCGAGCGACAACGATCAAATTAGGATATTCAGAATACATACTCGCAGATGGGCCTGTAAATATATAGATATATCACATTGTAAAGTGTACGCTCTAAGATATTTTCAAAAATTCCAACATTCAAAAATGTAAGTCCAAGAACGAATTAAAATAATTTTTTTGTTTAGCATAAAATCTGTAGAGATGGTTATATATAGTACATCATTTTCATTGTAATTGTGAAAAAGATATATATAGAAACATAAAGATATAAATAAAAATAAGATATGTAACCTTATATTAGTTAAATTTAAATTATTGACTTTTTTGTAGAATACCTCCAAATTACCGCGATGTCGTTTACTGTACAGCTATGAGATTGGATATGACACGGACTACTTATAACTTTCTCTGGAAGGAATATTTAAACAGCAATGTCGTCACAGATAAACTTGTAATTCTTAATTCATTAGCTTGTTCAGAAAATAAAGATGTTTTAGAAACGTAAGTATAATCGTTGTAAGTATATCCTTTTCATTGTCTACATCAAGGTGTCATTAAAAATAATTGATTGGTATTCATATAAATTACATTTATTAAATATTTTATAAAATATAATAGCGTATGTTGTGTAGAAATTACAAAGACTTCAAGTTATTCTGCAAATTTTCTAATATTCACATTTGTAACGCCGTTTTAATAAAACTTTATGAAGAGAAACATAATTTATTTAGTAGTTTAAAAAAATTGCAATGCTAATCTAATATGAATAATAATACACTTATCCATTTTTTATATTAAATCAAGATTATTGAGGGATGCAATCGCAGAGAATTCATCTATACGGTATCAAGATTGTGGAAGTGTATTCCAAAGTATTTATAGTGCAAGTTTAATTGGCGTTGAAGTTGTCATAAAAGTGATTGAAACGTATTACGATGATATATTGCATCGACAGTAAGTAAATAATTTTGCGCAATAATCCAAATCCAAATAACGCAATATAACATCATTTTTAACAATCATTTTTGTTTACAGTTTTAATAATTATTCAAAAATCTCCAGTTTAGTAAAAGCTTTGGCATTGAGATTATCTACTGTTGAGCTCTTTAATCAGGTAGTTTATCATATCTCGTACATTTTAACAAATTTTATCTAAACAAAATAGCAAAAGAAACATCTATATCAAATTCTAGAAATTTTTTTATAAAAACGATATATAATTAAATAACTTTTCTATACATATACATGGTACACATTTTATTAAATATTAAATTAAAAAGAATCAATTCAATAATTAAGTAGACTAAAATATACAATCATTAATAAAAATTAATAAAATAATAGAGCTTTTTAAAATTTTGATTAAAAATTGAACTCATTGAAATATATAATTCTTTTGCTACAATTTTCACATTTTATCAAATATTTTATACAAACAAGAAAAATCCTTGAAAATATGAAAAATGCAAATTATTATCTTGTCTAGAATTAATCAGCCAATATCTATTCAATAGAATTTATTTTTTTTATTTGCAGTATAAAAAATTACTCGACTGGCTAGTTAATAAAGAACCAAAATTTAAAAAAAACATCAAATTCTACTTAAAAATAGCAGAACATGAAATTTATTGGTACAGAGGAAGAGTATCAGAAATTATTGAAGCATTGAACAATCAATTTCTAAATACGTATCAAAAATATAAATATTTACCGAAGACACTTTATCCAAAACTGTATAACGTACATCTCACACCTTATATGGAAAAAGGCGTCTTTGAAGGAAAAGTGGAAATATATATGACAGTTCGGGAAAATACTACGTTGATAGCTCTCAATTCTCACAAACTTGATATCTTAAATATCACAGTTTTCAGAAATGGCGCAGAAATAAAATTGCAGAATTATACGGAGCATATCCCGCAACAATTAAGAATATATTTATCCAACTACGTATATACAAATGAGGAGATAATGGTGGAAATCCATTTTAACGGGACACTTAATGATGATCTGAATGGATTCTATCGTAGTTCATATTTCGATAATAATACAACGCACCAGTGAGTACAATAATAATATGCAATAATAAATAATTAATACATAATATTGATATAATTTATTAAAAAGAAAGAAAAATATTTTGTAATTTAACTTTTCAATTTCTAATTCTTGTTGTATGACTTAATATAACGTTAATATAATGTTAATACGCGAAAACAATAATATATATTTAAATAATTGTATCTATTTCTAATATTTATTTGTTCTTTTACAGTTGGCTGGCTGCAACTCAATTCCAGCCTATGTATGCAAGACAAGTTTTTCCATGCTTCGACGAACCAGCATTTAAATCGAATTTCACAATTAATATTCAGAGGATGATTTATTACAATTCTCTGAGCAATATGCCACTCAAAACAAAAACTACAATTTCAAAGTAAGTGAATAAAAATATGCTTAAAAAATTTGGATATATATATACAAATATATATATATATATATATA